TGGTGGAGAAAAAAGGCCCTCTAGCGCGTATGGTGGAATGTATGATGGAATGTTGTCATCAAGCAAAGGCGTAGACACATAAACACCTCAGAGTCGCCTCACTCCAGTGCGCAGGAAGTTCATCATGTAATGCCAATGAGAAGTGATATTCATAAATATGCTGAACGGACAGGAAACTATTTATACACTTGCGCTCAAGAACCATCTCCACACCTTTTTCTCCCCCGTCTCTGATTAAGCCAGGCTTGTTGGTTCTCTTGTCTTGAGAGTACACATCCAAGCCAGCCATGGTGAGCATCTGTCTCCCATACAATCCGCTCATGCCAAGACAAATTTACACGGCAGATGATCAAATCAGAGTAGACATAAATTCCAGGATAAGCAAATACTGCAATCTGTATATCGAACAAGGTATCTGAGCAAAGCGAATCGAAAGATAGCAATGATAGGAAACAGCGCATAACAGAAGCAGGAGAGAGAACAGAGTAGAGATCAACAAGTAGACGCAATATCAGCAGAGAAGGAAGGACGAAGGAGAAGAGAAAGATGAAATGGATATCAGCAGCACAAAACATTAGTATGAGCTAATAGAACAAACGCGCAACAGTCATCACCAAGCCCACCCTGGACCAGCCAACAGTGCCCTGAGGCAGTCTCTGGGATGCGTGAGCAGGGCCCGAATTATCCCAATATCCTAGGGTTGCTTTACCCAGGAATCCGTGCCGAACCCAATGCCCCCCACCCTTCACCGTTTACCTGCCCCGTTGTTGCCGTGACCATGTCCAATGCTGGGACGCTCAAAAGAAAAACCAAGCCAAGGAAACAAGATACTAAAAAGACCAGCTGAGCAGGCCGGTATACGCGTAATAATCATCCCAAAAATTCAAAAGCCTCTCTTCTGTGACGCCTGTCCCCTGCAAAGTCAAGGGGAATAAGCCTCAGACCGAGAGGGAGTGTTCGATCAACCACTCCAGATCCGTTACGCCGAAACCCATCAGACGAAGAGGTATATGCCAAGGAGAAAAAAGCGCAAGGAAAAACCATTCAGGAAAGGAAAGACATAGGAAATCGTTCAATCATCTTGTGACTAGTACACGCTATCCTCATCGGCCCCTTGCGAGATCATCGAAGGGGTCGACACGCTCGAGGAAGCTTCCATTTCGACCTGGTAGCCGACGAGTGCTTGTGCGTGCAGGCGGAAGGATTCTCCCATAAGTCGGGTGATTCTAGAGTCTTGTTAGCCATCTAGTCTTTTATAGAAGGGTGATAACAGTCACTTACCCCCAGACCACGACCTCGTCCAACATGCTGCCCCACAGACGGGCAACAACAGAGCTAAGCTGGGAAGCATAGGCCTCGTCGAGGTCCTTGTCGAAGAGCTGTCGAACCTTGTTGTACATGGCCAGTTCCTCCTCTGTAGCTGGCTCTTCGTCATGTTCCAGACGGTAGAGCCAGAGCGAGAGGACAATCATGAGGTCAAGACCACACAAGGCATGCTCGACGCTCCAGTTAGTCGGCGAAGTTCGTGCAACCCAGCGCACGCCTTGGACCACGGCAATCTCGATACAGTTGTAGCATTCCTGAATGACCTTGATCATCTCACTGGAGCGCTTCACGCGATCCCGCGCGGCTGACATGGCAGCCGCAACCTCATAGGAATCGTGGTAGCGCAGCGCCTCTTGCACAGATTTCAGATCAACTTCCAAGCGAGTCCTGGCGTTCCGGTACAAAGCCTTGGCATTGAAGATGAGAGGGTGTCCCTTGTGAGGAGCACTCAGTGGGACTGAAACATTCTCAGGCTCGCAGAGCTCGCAGGACTTCTCCCACGTCTCCAGCGCGAGTCTGAGCTTGTACTCGGTCACAACATCCTGAAGTGCCTCGGGACTGCGCTTGTGGTACCACACTTCGAGGAACAGGGCGTTGATCATTACCCGCGACGCAAACGCGCTGTACCTGAGTGTCTCTCCCTGGAACAGGTTGTCGTGCGCCTCCATGAAAGTGACCACAGGCGACGCCTTCAAATGCTCGTGCCAAGAGGCCTCGTCCGTGACCTTGAGGTTCCAGAGTCCCTCGGTGGAAGGGAGCTGCAAGTCCTCAAACTCGTTGAAGCTAATTGCCGGTGTGTGGTTGTACGTCAAGGTGAGCAGGCCAAAGAAGATGTAAACCGCGTAGTAGGTGCGGCGGCAACCTTCATCCTCGATCCACTCGCTGCGGGTAGGCTGAGCGCTGTTGCGGGCTTCCTGACGAAGCTTGAGCTCGTAACGGTTTCCCGCAACCATGTTGGCGAGCAGACTCTTGATAGAGCATGCCCATTCGAGTCCCTTCGGATCACCACTCCAGCTGGCAAATATCATGTTGAGAAGCGAGCCCTGCATCGTCCACAGAGGGCACTTGCGCGAGCTAAAGTTCTCCTTGTTCTGCAGGAATTGGTTGACGAGCACCTTGGATCCAATGTGCATCATATAGGCCTGGTCCTGGTCAAATGCGTAGAGCGCACCGATGCTCAGCACTGCGAGAAGCAGAGCCGGAGACACCTTGGTCGAGTCAAAGGACGCAGGATGCAGGAATGGAAGATGGTGGTGGAACAGCCCAAAGTACGTTGATAAGAATCGGTTCAAAGAGGCCAGGTTGGGGAGGCGGAAGCCATCGGGGATAGCATGCTCAGTGTCTTGCGCGCGGATGTTGTCGAGAATCTGGTTGCGTTCATCGTCGCTCGCAACCTGAGGGGCACGGAATCCAGCAGTTGACAAGGTCGCCTCGGTGACGAACGGGCTTTGCGGCACAGGCGTACCAGCTTCGGAGTTTGGCAGTGAGTTGATCATGGACTGCAGCGCCGGAACGAGGCCGTTACAAGTCTGTCCGTTGATGGGCGGAAGCTGAACGTTGCGAGGTTGCATGGTGTTCGTGCTGTTGAAAGACTGCTGAGACTCGAACGAGCCAGATGCTGATGATGCAATGGAGTGCGCCTTTGCTTCTGACGATTGAGACATGAAGCTCTCCCACTGGGGAACAGGTATGGCACCTGAAGGGTAGGTGGCAGACGAATCCATGGCGTGTGGCGAGTAGGGCATCGATGGACTGCCTCCTGCGCGTGCGCCGGCGGCGGCCTTGTGTTGAAAGTCTGCAACCAGCATGGCGGCTGTCTCGAGATCGAAGGTGCCATCGTGAGAAGCGGCTTCAATCTGGTCTATCGCGGACTGGTCAAGCATGGGGGTCTTGGCTGGGCCGCCGATAGCTCTCGTCTTCGGGCCTGAACGTCTCTTGCCATCGCTGTGAAGAGGAACACCTCCGTCTTTGGCGTGCACGGTACGATCGTGACGAAGGAGAAGATCGCGTCTGACGAATGTGCTGCGGCACTTCATGCACTTGAAGGGGCGCTCTTTGGTGTCTAGTAGAAGGAGTTGAATTAGCGAAATGAATCGAAGTGAAGACAACTGGATACGAATGTTGCTTTGCGTGGAATTGTTGTCGCATGACGCATCGAGGCAAGGTCGAAAGGAGGGGTTGCTTAATGTCGCGAGGGGTTCCCAGTCGAGCGGAAGCTTTGGGATGTAGGAGGAGGAGGGGAGAAGAGGGGTTCCGGGAAGATAGGTGCACTTACGGGATCGTTCATGTCTGCTGCGGTGCTCACTCCTGCTGAAGGCTCTGTTGCAGAACTGGCACTTGTACTTGCGTTCCGGTGCGAGTGAGGCTTTTCGCGAGGCCGGCGTCGAAGATGCTGACGTCGGAAGGACTGCGACGCTTGCGCCAGGCATATTGAAGGCTCGGGTGGTGGTCGTGATTTTTGAAGATATGTCGGGTGGCTGGGCCAGCTGTTGCGACGACGACGACGACGACGGCGACGAACAGATGTGACGGCTTGGACGATGTGCACGACGGCTCTCTTGTTGTTGAAAACGATGGTTGAAATCGCCCGGCTCCTAGGGTTTCCTCCTCGCTCGGCGCGCTCCCGTGGAGTTTAAAGTGTGTCTTGATTAGACTGGTAGATGTTGCTGATCATTTGGTTCGATATTCTGGTCATAGGAAGGACGTATGTGTGGTTGAAGGGAAAAAGCTGGCGAGTAGCCAGTGTTGAAGCGGCGTGTCTAGAGGCGACAGGCGCGCTTGAGTCGTGATGATGGGCCGGGAAAGGCGAAGAGTGCGCGCGTTGGGTTGCGTGTTGGAGATGGATGATGATCACGAGAGTGGGAGAGAAAAACGGAAGAGGGGGAATCGAAGAAAAAGTAGGAGGGGAGAAGAAGAGGAAAAGAGGCGTCTCTGGTGAGAACGGTGGGGACACTGGACTGCGACAGTGGGAGGGACTTGGTGAATTGGAGGGGGTGGACACATTGGATAGGAGGGGAGGGGGGAGGGAGCGCAAGAGAGCACGAAAGAGAGGGGAGGGGGGGCCAGACAGGGCGCAGAGAGCAGAGCAGAGAGAGAGAGAGAGAGCGAGAAGAGAGGGGAGAGACCAGAAGGACGACGATGGCCCGAAGCTGGAAAATGGAAGAGGGACAGGTACATTGGACGAAGTACCTTTCCCCCCGTCTCTTGGGTGTCCTCTCCCGCCTCACCTCACTTGGAACAGGCGGGAAAGAGGCGGGCAGCAGCAAGTGGCATGGTACGTACTGCCGGATGTCTTCTATCGATGGTTCTCTGCCAGGTGGGTAAATACCTGAGGAAAGATACTTTGATAGCTAAGGTGGAAAAGTCGAGGTGGGTTGGGTAGGTACTTCCTTTAGCTACTCAGATGTACCTAAGGCAATGTATCTCAGATGCAGGGTTCCTCAGGCAAGCACAGGTAAGGAAGGTCGACATAACAACCTGAGAGGTACATCCGGCTACAGCTCTTCCTCCCCTTCATTTTTTTGTATCTTTATTTATTCATCTTAATCCAAGCACATTGGTCCCCACTGCGACTCACTGAGATGGATGAAGGAGGGGGAGGAGAGGAGTAGGAGGGCCACAATGCACACATCGCAGAGAGAGGGGAGGGGGGAAGAAGGACGGGAAGGGAGGGATTAGGAAACTGGAACGGGCTCCAGTGTTTGTTCACCGGGCCACCAGAACAGCAGAATAGATCCGACCTGGGCCTGCTGGGCCGGCTCCATCAGAATGAGCAAGGGAGGGATGTGTGAGTTGGGATCCGAACTGGAGGTGCTGGGCGGCGGGCCATTATCCTTGGGCCTGCTGGCCGAGGATGTAGTGGAGAGGGGGGGGGAAGGGGAGCCCTGAAGCGGGAGTGGATGAGTTGAGGTACATACCTATGGTAGTTAAGGTACCTGAGGTTGGGTGGATGGGTGGACGACAGACCCCCCTGTCGTCTACCTTCCAAGCGGCCTGCCAGCGACACAGCAACCGGCAACCAGCCAACCTGTAACCCCGAATGAGCAGGGCGAGCGAGCATGGCAAGGCCGCAAAGCAGGTGCACCAGTGACTACTGCGTACACGTACCTTACCACCGCGCCGTCAGAGTCCACGTCCGCGGCCAGCTGGAGGTCACGAGTGAGTGGGAGTGGAGAGGGGTAACCCGCCACGATACGAATAGAAGGGGGGGGGGGGGGACTCGGGAGAAGAGGAGGGGGCCTCGGCGACGGTGCTTGCGTCCATTGCTGTGCTGCGCTGTGCTGTTGCTTCTTCCTGTGACAACCAACTTACAAGTTCCTACGAGCGAACCATTGAAAGTGAGGGGGGAAAGATGAGAAAGAGGAGGGACGGCAAGCTGCTGTATGTAGAGGTGATGAGTCCTTCAGCAATTGATTGGCTCCAAGGTGCCGGACGGATACGTCTGTCTGTCTTTTCATCGGCTTCGGCTTCGTAATTAGGTAGTCAGGTCAGTCCTTGACCTTCTCCGCCTCCTCTTTTCTTTCCTCCCGTCTTCTTCCACTGCCTCCTCCTGCACTGTCATTCCATGCTGACCCTGTCGTGCTGCTGTTGCTTCCGCTGTCGTTGTATTCGTAACCTCAGGTTGGATGACCTAAGGTAAGGAAGCAGGAAGGTACATACATACATACATACAGTACTCCGTAGGTAGACTAGGTAGAACCAATGCCGCTGCAATGCTGTTGGCACCAATGCACACACTTGCACAGAGGCACGCCGCACACGCATGCTGTCCACAAAAATAAAAACCACCTGCTTCCACTCCGAGCAGGGAAGGAGGTACGCACCCACTCCTCCTCACTTTCACAGCAGATGACGGGAGGTAAGGTTCAGGTCGGTTAGCACTTCCTGGCTCCATTTCTACATACATACCTTTCGTGCTTCTGCCTGTATTTCCACAAGTACTCCCGTACCTGACCTGCTGTGCTGTTATGTCAGAGGCGGAATGCAAACACTCTTTTTGAGCTACCTCCCCTATTACGGATAGACTGGTAGGGAACGGGAAGGGAGGGCCGGAGCTATGTAAGCAGGCACTGACGATCCCACTTCCATGTCACTCTCTTGCCTAACTTTGCGCACAAGATACTTCTGGCCTTACAGATAGATACCTCACATTTCTTTCATTCACTGCCACTCTGCATCACGCAGGGCATCCAACTTTAGCTCCAACTTCCAGCTTCAGCTCTCCAGTCAGCCTTCAAATGTCTCATTTCAATCACAGCACGAGTCGACGAGAGTCTGAAAGTAATCGAATAGCATCGAACCTCGCCGCATCATATTCGTGACCAAGTACTCCGTACCAAAGTTGCCAAAACTCCGAACCATCTCCACGATCCATCCAGCCCACGCAATTAGTTTGCCTTCGTCCAATTTCCATCAAATTTCTCGGAACCATGAAGGTATGCATCATTGTATCCATATAGTACCCTCATCTCGTCTGACACACAAGAGGCGAGGAATCTAACTGGATCGTGTCGCGGCTCGCTATCATCATCACCATCCAAGACAATTTTAGGGGTCAAGAGACAAACGAACGGATAGGGGCAAATACCAGCCACTCAAGCTCGAGAGGGATAATATTCCTGCTCTATTCGTACAGATACCGTCGCTCACTATCCCATCCCGCTCGACAGAGCAGGGCCCAGTCATCACTGTCTGTCCGTATCGGCTGGCCCCCTTACGAACACGACGCAACATGGCACGTAGAGGATTCAGGGATTGCCAGTAAAAATTTTGTCGCCAAACTAGGGGGCACAGCTTCCTCTCGCGGCCGCTAGTGCTCTGTCTGTCTACATTTAGCAATCACGAGGATGGAATCGATGGATTTGCCTGCCCTCGAGCACAGAGGCATCAAGCCATCAACAACAGCACAGGCGTTCGAAGGCGGTACCTGAGCTCACGCAGTGCACCATACCATTACGCAAAGTATCGACTATTCGTCCCGCCATTGTCATCCTGACCAAAATTACAGCGCTCAGATTTTGGCCCGCGGGACGGTGAAATGGAGCGCACGAGATTTGCAAGGCCTGGCACGCACCCGATCCGTCCGGAGCACAACTAGCCACTTTCAGACACCACGACCCCGGTATCCAGTACCCACAGAAACATGGCAGGGGAAACCAAAGGGCGGATGGCCGGGTTATGGGACGCTTCAAGGATGTTTGCTGGGGTGCGTCAAGACGTCTAGGGGGGCGTGAGCCCATGGCAAAGAGCCGGTCGATGAGCCAGTTCAGTTGAGCACCTACGAAAACGCACATATAGAGCACTATACACGACTACAGCACACGGGCTAATGGCAAGCGGTGCTGGACTTCCGGGCTATTTAGGGGGGTCCCATTCGGGGTGGACTGGACCAAGGCAGTGGTACGCGACACTAAGGCAAGCATTGATGTGCTGGTCCCAAGTGCCCTGGGCTTGATGACGGGAAGCATCCAGGGGCGATGATGTGGCCGGTTGGGTCATCATCGTTGAGCTGTCCAGAGAACTCGAGGCTCGAAACTTCAGGCCATCCAGCTAGAAGGAAAAAGAGGAAAGACGGCGTGATGAAAGGTGTGCGGTGTGAGAGAAAAGGCGGAACAGCTGAATGGCAAGGTAAGTCAAGATATGCATGGTATCCGCTTCACCAGTTTGTCCCGTCCCATAGCTCGCTCACCTTACTAATAAAAAGGCATGCAACGACATGACATTGTAGCTCAAGGCCAGTTGACAGGCGACTAGTCGCTTCCCAGTTGCACACTGGGCCATGTTATCCTGGTTCATCAATACTTGCTTCTGGATCAAGCGAAACAAAATGCCTTGCTTAATAGGAAGGCGGGTGTTAACGAGCACTGACGTCGCCCATGTGTCTACCGAGAGAGGCTCGCAGATTACCGTCTTGCAAGAACCCGAGGCTGGAAGAGAGGCGACGTGGAAAAGAAATTGCAGTTACGAACAACTTGGGGGTTCCCCTCTGTCCCAGCAGCTCGCTGCCCCTCCCGGCCTAGCCTCGCTAGAACCCGGACCGCCGATTTGGTTGGCAATTTCGCCCCGGCTCCGGAACTCGAAAGGGAGGACATGAACAAGGGCGAGTCGCGAAAGGCCTGGCCGGAGAAGAAGCCTTACACAGCTTCCAGAATCCAATGATTCTGTGATCCCCTCCCGCGTCTCCGACTCCTCAGAGAGCCCCTCATCAGTATGACCAAACCCCCACCTGGCTGGTCATCAACCCCTCCTCCTTTGTCGCTATTTGTGTCATTGTCATTGTACGGATACGATCTTGCGGTAAAGTCTCGGTTTATATCAAGTACCAATACTCAATATCCGTACAGCAAAGTGGATGGACAGCTGCTGATTGATTCTTGCCTAGGGCTCTGTCTGCGCCATGTGAAGCCGGTCCCTAGCTGATCGTGGAGTGCTGGTTGTGCAGGTCAAGGTTTCGAGGATACCCAGCTGGCAAGACCGTCCAACAGGATGGGATGGGATGGATGGGATGGAGTGCTCTAACGGACAAGCTAGGATTAGCAGCGAGTTCTTGCCGGGCATCCCCTACCTCGAGCCAATGGGCAGAGACCCCGTCTCCCGGTCCCCGGACGGTACATCAGCGCGGTCAGGGTGCATCCGGTACTCGGATGATACGTGTCTCGACAAGCTGCACTAACGCGCGCCGGCGGAATACATGCTTGTTCCCGTGGACGGCGACCCATCCTGTCACTCACGGCGGTGAGGAGAGGTATCCCTGTGTACCTCCTTCGTGCAGGTCGAGGACAAGTACGCGGTCCAATACACGTGCACTTTGTGGAAACAAGCAGGGAGTAGTGTACATAGTAGCTGAGGATGTGCTCCAATATGTACACTAAGGCATCCTCCTAGAGTCCCACTCCAAGGCCGACCCGCCGTTCTTCTCGCCGCGGGTCTCAGGCTGCAGCTCACATGCACCTGTTGCTGGTGTTCGCATCGCGGAGGTGGGAAAACGGTTCTATGTCACAGCACGTCTGAAGTGGGTGGATGCTGGCACACGGCTGGATGAGCAAACGCCAAACGGCCAATTCTATGGACCACGGCGGTTGTGTGGGTCTTGCACCATTTCAAACGTGGCTCAAGGACGCGGTGTTCACGCGCCGCGCCTACTCGACTTGCATTGACCAATCACCACCATCAAGGCAAAACGCAACCAGACGCGTTGAGAGCATAAAACAAGAATGACAGAAAACTGAACCACTGCGCTGGGCTGGGCTGGGCTGGGCTGGGCTTGCGTTTGGGATACCCGTCAACCCGTACCGCTTCCCGCACCCGCACCGCTGCCGCGTGCGTACCGCGACTTACCTTAGTACCCGGCCGAGAGAGCGGGACGCATTTTTTGTAGTTCGATTTGGGATGCGCCTGAATCATCGTTGATGAGACACGACCTACGGACACACAGACACGTCGTCTCTTGAAAAAGGCCCATGGCCATGAGAGAGAGAGACAGAGAGAGAGAGCCACACTTACTAACTATCACTCGGGATGCCAGATGCCCGACCGCCTCTTCGTTTCTTTCATTCCTCAAAGGCGGTCAGTAAGGTCTGAAGCGGTCGGGACTTGTTTTGATGCAAGATGCTCAATAGCCCTGCTTAGGTCCTGGAATCCTTGGGAACACTTTGTTTTTTTGCTCGACTACCAAACGGTACACCTGCGACCGCCGACAAGCATCCGGGCAAGCGGGTCGTATCCCCCTGTTTACATTAGTTGACCGACATGGTGAAAGAGAGAACTCCAGAGACAGGGCTCTGGTCGTGGTCGCCGGCGGCAGCAGATCGAAAAAGGAGACGACAAGACGATCTGAAATGATACGAAGCATGGCCATGACCAGCCATGCCGCTATGCGCAACACAGACCATTGTGCACTATTCCGTACGGAGTATTGGATTTGGGCATAATCAACAAGTGGAATGAGAAAGGCGACAACCGACCCACGGCTCCATCGCGGGCCACGGAAGCGCTCCCGCGATCTTCGCCAAACGAGATGATGTCGACGTTGTTGTCTCGACTCTCGATGCACTTGGCCAGTACGGCTAGGTAGTCAGTCACAAGTGTGCCCCTCGGTCCTCGAGCCCCTCCCCCTCCTTTCTCTCATGGGTCTCATCCCTTTTTCGTTCGCCCGCCCCCCTTTCGCTTTTTTTTTTTTTTCTTTTCTTATTTTTTTCCGCTTCCCATTCTGACTCAACTGTTTGCTTTCTTTTCCCTTGGCCTTGTCGCGTACGGAAATTGAGGTTGCCTCCCGCTCTCTGATACGGATGAGAAAATTTTTCCAACTCTGCTATGACTCTCTTCCACATCCCTTGCACAATCAGGGACCTGGCAATGAATCAGGTCCTCGATATCATGGCCCTCTGAGTCCCTGTTGCGCTGGGAAAGACATGCCCTGCAGGTACTTCGTACCTTGCTATCGGAGGACAACTTGAATGGAGGGACAGAGACTGAGGCTGGTGCCAGTGCTACCTGCTGCCACCTTCCAGGCGAGTTTGGAAGTTCAAGTGCGGCGCAGGCTGGTCCCATTTCCCTCAAGCTGACACGCTTTGTTGTCCCTCGAACTTGACAAGTTTCCACCTCTCGTGTTGTAAATGGTGCCAACTCCCAAGTCATTTCATCATGTTGCTACACGTCAAATAAACCCCTTCCCCTGTTCTCCTCCAGCCTACGGTCCTGAACGGTCCATGCTATGTAGTGTAGAACCTTTGGGGCCCTGATTGGGGGGGGGGGGGGTTGTTCATGGATGTACCACATTGTTCCTCAAATCCCGTTATCCTGTCCAAGCGAGTTACACAATTTTCTACACGCCTTCTATGACTGGGTCTCATGCTTCCATTGCAAATGTCCCGTCATTCTGGATCTATTCCTTACTGACCTGTCCATGTCGCCAACCTGCCGCCCGAAGTCTAGGGGCAATCGATCAACGCTCCACTGCGATTATCATTTGCATGTCACGATATGTCAAACATGGTATCCGTACGGATCATGGATATCCTCACAACTCTCAGAGAATCCGCTCTGGCCCTATCGGCCTCGTTGATTTTTCGGCTTTCTCATTCGCATCCCTGACGCCACGAATCTGCCCTCGCCCTCCGGTCCCTCCCCCTCCAGAGACGTGCAACTTGAACTTCGAGTCTCGACCGCCGCGCCCCTCCCCCTCTCTGAAGTCTGAACCATGGATCATGACCCAGAATTCGCTATCACGCATCATGCTAGACCTTGCAAGGCCTATCGCTCGCTCGCTTACACTTACAGTTCACCGTCCTAGGCGTCACCGCCCTCAAGCAACCCCCCCCCCCCCCGTCGATGTCGTGAACTGGCGCTTCCGGGGCCCTCGAACGGCAGGGACAAAAGCGCAAAATCAACCGGGTTCCTATCGAGCATGTACAAAACCCTGGACTCTTGAGGGGCATCACATCGCTTTTCAAGCACCAACGATGCGGTGAGTCCTTGTAGGCGCGTCTCTCACCTTGTCGGTCTCGAACGACGAAATGTCGGAGTGGGTACACGAAATGGCGGACAGAAACTGAATTTCAAGGGTCAGAGATCCGAAAGGGCAAGTCCTGACATATCGGTGGAGAGCAAACTAACAACTCTTGCGCTTCGACTGCTGGGTCGCAGCATGAAAGTGGACATCCCCTCTTCTATTGTCTTTTACGCTCACGACACCCGCTTCATATTGACGATTTCGCCTCTGATGCCGCAAGGCTTCGCGAAGTCGGCGCAGGTGCATGCCAGATAAGCCTTGAGAGACGTGCTGTTGGCACAAGAGACAAATCTAGAAGCAATGGGCCTCACCGACAAAGCCATTTTTTCCCAACGCATTGACGTGTCTACCACGGATATGCGCTTTGGGAATCTAGGAACTCGATACCTTGAGGGAGTACTGCACACCGTACTTACCTTACCTTACTCAAAATCGCGGGCATACAACTTCAAGCTCAGAGTTCTCCTCCATGATCCAGCTCCGTCTCCGGCCGCCACGCGACGGGGCTAACATGCACCCCAGTCCGGCACTCCATTTACCACCTGCAATAGTCCCTCTCTTGTGATATATGGGCCCTTCGAATCCAACTTAACCCAAGGGCAAGCCATGCCCCCGCCATCTACCTGGCAGGTTGGCAATTTATTAACCCTACGAGCGGACGCCGGAAGAGGATCCAGAATCAGAAGTGGTCCAGGCCAACGAAAGGAAGCCGGGAGGAGAAGATGTCGCCAGGAGCCCAGGACCCAGTCCAACCCGGGCTTTCGGTGCCCTTCATTTGAAGCTTCGGCATAGGGCAAGGCCTGCCAAGCCAGAGCAAAATACATGACCGGAACGGCCGAGTTGGGAACCTGTCGTTGATTTACCCCTCCATTGACGTTGCAACGATAAGCCGTATGCTATCGGCCTACGGAGTACAGGCTTTCATCTGATGTTGGTAAGGCGTTGCCCGTTGTAGCGAACCGTCAACGATGATGGCCATGGAGTAGACGCTCGTAGGGAATTTCCGGCGCACGTCTCTCATGCCACATAAAGTAGGTACCTTGCAGTCTCTCTTTTATCGTCCCTTGCCCCCTGACCAAGGACGAGGATATGGCAAAGACGATATTGGTTCCAAAAAAATCTGTCCGTCTGGAGGGGTAGAAAGTTCAGAACGAGAAAAAAAAAAAAGAGAGACAGAAAGTTCAGAAACCCTTCAGGATAGCGGGGCACTAGGAACAGCTAAAATGGAGCGCGCCTCCACGCCTGGGCACGGAGGCAGTCAGAGCCCACCTCGCGCCGCGGCACGGGTTCCGGCCAGCCGGTTCCCCGTTGGCAGTGCGGCGTCAGGCGTGCCTGTTTGCGCTCCGCGTTTGTGCCAGGATGCGTTGCTGGAACGGTCGCGGTGGAGGAGGGAGGTGTGGTGTGGTGGGCCTGTCTAATTAAGAGCATGCTCAAGGGTTGCCTTCAGAACTTCCGGGCGGGACTGCCCTTACCTAGTTGTGTATTACTACTACTACGTAGTTGTGTCAGTACTTGCACAGTAGGTACTACTGAAGGCCTGAGGTGGCTTCTTTCCGGCATCCGCCGTTCCCGGGTAACCTCTTTGGGCTTCTTTTCTAGTGTATCCGTAGTGTGGTTTCTGAAAGACTGTGACTCCGTGAGGCGATTGAAAAAAGTAAGGCGGGCAAACACAGCAGTCTCGGTGCTGGTCCCTGGAAGCTGCAAGTGTGGCGGGCCAGGAGAAAAGAGAACATGTCGTTGCGCGGAGGGGAATTCTGGCTAGGCAGGCTGGCCAGCCAGCCAGCACTTTCTTAATGGTAGGTACTCGTCGTGACTTTGTACTTTGCATCGATCTAACCATGTGGTTCGAATCGCAAAAAATGTCACCAATGCACCATTGACAGAGAACGAACATCTCGCAGATCAACAAGACTTGTGGTGGCGGGAGGCTGAAGGCGACGGGCAGCTAAACCCCTGACGATCATTGAGGTGCCTGACTGGATTTTCCTGCTAGGGCGTTGCCGTCGGGCGCCTTGATCGCGGCACGCACTTCTGCATAGTCACAGTCATACATACGTAGGTACTCACGCAGAGTCGGAGGTAGACTGATGTGAGGTGGGATCAGCGTGTCAGTGTCATCGCCGGCCGCCCCAAGGCCCCGGAACATGAACGAATCACGACCTGAAACCGCACCTCTCTGATTCGCAATACTTTTGCGGAAGGAAGAAAAAAAAAAAAGCACTACGGATAGAAAATGGTAGGTTGCCTCTTTCGCTAGTAGTGGCGCGCTGTGTCTGTGTTGGACACCCCCGTTACCTACCGTATGTCTCGTTCCGAGCCCATCGTCGCAATGGAATCTCATGAGAACATCTGATATCGTCCCGATCTGCAACACAGGAGGGGTTCTCTGAGAAAAGGATTGCGACCCCTTTTTTTCCCTTCTTTTCTTTACAACAAAGCGTCAGTGCCCCTCACGGAACGCCCCGCACCGTCACCCATCCACGCGTTCGTGGATCAAGCGCTCGTTCGTTCGACTTCATAGGTAGCGATACCCTCGGCAGCGATTCTGTAACCTTTCTCAGACAAGACACACCACGAGGGTGTGAGATGGCGCCATCCCAACTGTCGACGATTTCGACAGTGGAATGAAAACCCGCCTGCCTCTAACCTGGGTGTAAGGCAACGTACCGATCCTCATTCACTACCTTGTGACAACGGAGCAACAATATCTAACAGAAGCATAGTGGTCTTGCCCAACCGAATGAACGCATGGCGTTGATGCTACCGAATCTCTCGCCTTTGTCATGAAGGAAGATGGTCAGGCGTAGAAGTGTCCCAGGCTTCGGCGACTGCCTATCATCGGCGCATGGTGTGTCGTGGCCGAATCGACAGGCAAACCGGCTGATTCTCGCGGACACGGCGCGGCGCATCAAGAAGGCCAGAGGGGATCACGCTCACGGCGCCGTTGTCATGAGCGACTGCATTCCGGCGGCGAAGCTTGGGTCAAATGCGATGTCTATGCCCCTCCTCTCAATACCCGGTGGCATTAGCCGGGCCGTCGTGACCGGACAAGGCATGGGCGAGAGTACGAATGATGGTAGACCGCTTTATACTTTGCCGGAGTGCAGCGGCATCGTCTTACACCCGGTCGGAAACGGATAGTCGACGAGCCGTCGGCAGGCGTGGTGGGATACATCAAGGCGGTGGTGAACGCAGGGCCGCCTTCTTCATCTTCAGACGAAGAACAAGTGCGGGCAAAATTGGAGTTGCGGCCAGGAAGTCGGGTTGGGATGGGATGGGATACGTCGAGACGATGTGCCTGAACCTGACCTGTTCCTAGCGCATTTTTGTGCTCGACTCCCAGGGCAGCAGAGTGGCCAGCAAGGACGAAGACCTGCGGATGCCTTTGACTATCTTTGGGTGAGTTTAGGTGAGTATCACGGCGTAGACAACGTTCCCATTTCGTTACCTTGTGGCAGGAAGTGACGGCGTTGGCATCATCCAGCCCTCCACGCCTCTTTGAACGTAGCACAGTGCGGAAACGGGCAAGGACCCGGATAAGGAGGATTCATGGTGATCTGTCGTCCTGGAAACGTCGCGCGTCAACGGAGCACAGTGCGGCGGGAAAGGGTGGTAGTGAAGATCCGTCCGTGGATGGTTCAAATGGAAAACGAGGTGAAATTTGAACAGTCGGCGGGGTCCACCTGCCTTTGGATGAGGTGGGTTAAGGTACTCCGTACCCTACCTTACCCGGTAGTCCTGCACTTCCTTCCTTCTTGGTCGGTCAAGCTCGTGCCCGGGCTCCACACCGGTGTATGGTGGCCCCTGCACTTCCTCTCTCCTGCCAACCGCACATTGTCCTTGATTCCTTCCTGAGGCCCATTTCCTGGCTGCTGTTCCGTCCGGCGTTCTCTCTCCTTTCTCATATAAGGAAGGCAGGTAATAGGTTACTTAAAGCTGCAAGGTAAAGTGTTTTGGGCTGCCTCGTGGTAAATGATGGATAAGGTATCGTTGTTTGCGTTCTGAGTGTCAGCGTTCTGTCCCGTCTGTCTTGTGAAATATGTGTCTCGTTGTTCCGACTGACGGGGGATTCTCAGGTTCGAGGGCAAAGCCGCAAACTTGCAGACGGATGAAGGTATGATAGCTATACTTTGTTCGGAGTACTTACAGGGGACTCAATCTGTCCGTACCTTGGGTCAAGGCTCAAGCAATTGATTGTCATTGTCAGGGACCCAAGCCAAGTCAGACTCGGCCTTGCTCGTTCAAGACATGATTTTGGATACCTAGATAGACAGATGTTCAATACCTTAGCCGGAGGGGGCCGCCTGCACCCCGTTCACGGCTCAGATTCAGGCTGGAAATTGACCAAAGTGCCCTCCTTGCCTATTTGATCACTGTCGCACGCTACGAATACCTCGTACTTTCCAATACAGACAAATCCCCTGCTGTGCCTCAACCCATACCTACTGTCCCAGTCCTTCACTTCCTCACGTTGTGTTTCCTCCCAGGGGAGGGGGATGGACTGCTGAGGATTTGGCCAATGGAGGAGGGAGAAGAGCGCTCAAAGACCCGCTCCAACGAGATGGGCAAGCAGAATCCTGGAAAAAGCACGAGGGAAGGAGACAAGACGGGACGGGAGGAACCCAGACAGCTTACCTAATTTGCAACTTTAGCGTACCTACACAGGACCAACCACAGTATGTAGTAGTAAGGGACCACCAGTTGCACCAGGCCTGAGGGAGGAGGTCCCCATTCCGTCCCCCCGTGCCTCGTGCGGCGTGTACTTCCTCCCCTTATTGCAATCCTTCAGTCCCGTCCCGGCCATTGACCACCCATAGACTGTTAAGCTTCCGCCATCGAGGTACCGCCGGCATCCTTCGCCCATCCTCTAAAGTGACCTCTTCGCGCCTTTGTGATCGCCAATTCGTCCAGCGTCTAGAAGTACACTCCCTACATCCACCTATCGCGCCCAAGTAGCTACTCTACTGTGGACCCCCCGTGCTACCATTGTTCCCAGTCGCATCCCCTCGACTCTGCAGCCCGCCCACACGGCCCATAACCATTGACAATCACCACGAAAACGACGACGAGGACGAAGACGATAGGCACCTGTTCACCATACCTTGTTCAAAGTTATCTTGATATACATTGGACACCCCTCCAACGGTCATCGTGACGGTTGCAAAAGATTCGATACTGGTCGCCCACCCGCTAGAGCCCGACCCTGAAAAGGGACAAAGCGAGAGGAGAGGCATTTACAGAGACGGTCTGATACACCCGCCGAGAGATCCCCTAGGCGACATTGGTCCTTCGGGGGCCTTCCCTCATCAGGCGATCCTCCTCTCCATGCCCCCTCTCCCCTCCCGAGTCCCCCCTCCCCTCCCGACTGTCCAGCAGCATCAGCGCACACGACGACGCGAGAAAAATATCCGGCGAATCGTCGCTCGCATCCCACACATCTCTACCCGCCCACTGCTTTCTCTCATCTCATCCCACCAGTGAGCTCTGCGAGTCGCGACCGCTCCCTCGATTTCCCAATTCTTCAACGCGACAACCGACCCAGTAGCCAACTGTTCACTGTCAGTCAGCGCCTGCGCCAGAGAACCACCGACCTCGTCGACACACGGCTGCGCCTGTTGCCAGACGAGACGAACGTCGCCCCCCGCAACTTTACCCCCCGGCTCCAAACCTGCGACTCCTGGATTGTGGGTTTCTGCAACTCAACAACTCGTCGCTTCTCTCCCATCTGACTACGCCTTCTTCTGCTTTCTTCTTCACGACTTTTTACGATTGACGATTCAACCCATCTCCTCGCCGACCCTCGCCGCCGATACAGGTCCAAGCAACAACAGCGTAGACGTGCCCGGATCATGACTTGACCCTTTTCCCCTCCTTGGGTTATCAGCGCGACCGCCTCATCATGCTGATGACACAGACCGCAGTGCCGGCACTATTCCAGGGTCAGAACAACAACTACAATTCCCGCAAAAAGCCTTCGCGCGAAAACCTCAATCACGACGCTACCAACTACTACCCTTCCCAACCGGCGTTGGACCCTTCCAGCGTTGGCCAAGCCTTCTCACCCTATTCACAGGCCATTACTTCCTCCTCGTCCATAATGAACGGTATTGCGGGCACTGCCCCGCCCGGTACCATGTACGTCCGCGCTCTGTACGATTACGAGGCCGACGACCGCACGAGTCTCAGTTTCCACGAAGGAGACGTTATTCAGGTTATAACACAGCTGGAAAGCGGATGGTGGGACGGCGTTATCAACGGTGTGCGCGGTTGGTTCCCGAGTAACTACTGTCAAATCGTTACGAGTCCCGACGAAATTCCCGAGCATGACCAGAATGGCGATCTTGATCATGTCGACGATGAGGAGGACAGTCAGGAGGTCTACGACGAGCAGCTGGAAGAAGATGACGAGTCGGAACTGGACGACGCCAGCGGCCTCCCTCTCGAGGGTACGGATCTCGGTGACAAATCACGGGCCGACTTTTGGATCCCGCAAGCAACCCCAGATGGGCGCCTATTCTACTACAATATGATGACGGGCGATCGGAGCATGGAATTGCCTTTGGAGTCTCCAGTATCTACCAATGAGACAGGGCCCCGTAACCGGATAAACGTCAATGTCCCTGAGAAGACACGGCCACCCCCCGAGATGATGGCTAGGGGCCTGACGCAAGATGAGGACGAAGACTCCGAAGCAAACTCCGCATCCGAGTTGGAGGGAGAGTCTTTGATGCTCGCATCTCGTGGATCTTTGGTAAGAGCTCGTGCCGCAAAGCTCGCACCGCCGTGGGTTGCTTTTGCTGACCAGTGTATGTGCATGATAGCCTCGTAATCGTCGGTCTCGTAGCGAAATGCTCTCACCCTCCACTTCGATGGACTCCATGAACGGTACCGCACCCGTTACCCGGCAGAAGGACGGCGCATATCTGAACCCGAACTTGGCACCCAACGCAATCCCAATGATTGCATCAGCGACCTCGTTCACCAGCACTTCTTACAATACGCCGCCAACCAGCACCGTGCCTCGTTCCTTTTTCGACGACGGCTCAGCGCCGCCGCTGACCTGGACTCGCCTGGTTTCCAACATGCGCCGAGCCGTTGACCGTTATCGCGATGCCATTACGAGTGGCAACCGTTCCGAATATGTTGCGCGCGCAGAAGATATCTCAGACCACCTGAGACTACTTCTAGCTGCTGGATCTGGCACGACCGATAACCACTCTGGCCAGCCTTCCATTATTTCCACGAACAAGGCTCTTTATCCCCATTTCAGAGACATGATGTCAAAATTCTCGAAGCTCGTAATCTCATCTCACATTGCTGCTGCTGACTGGCCCAATGCCGAATCTGTACAGAAGTGTCTCCAAGAAGCCGATGGAGTGCTACTCGGCGTTTTCAGTTATGTCGAAATTGCCCGTCAGCAACGTGGAGAGGAGATCCCGCGCCTGTTCCCTGGATTTGTCATCGGAAGTTCTACTGGCGGCAGCTGGCAGAACAACGGACTGGGCACCCGCGATCCTATCACAGCGAATTTCCTGGAAGATGAAGAGGGTGTGGTCGAGCCCACGGCAATTCTAGACGGCAAGCAGCTCGAGAGGCTAGACGAGCTCAAGCGCATGCTTGTTTTCAGCATAAGAGAACTGGACAAGAATTTGGTTGTGGCGGACAAGATCACTTCACCTTTCAAGCACGAAGTCATCGGAAACAACGTTTGTTTGGCGGGAGGCAAGGTCTTGGAGACGTTCAAGCCATGGATTGCACTCATCGAGTCTATCGACCTTTCAACCCTGGGCAACAGTTTCCAAACGCCCCAGTTGGCAGACTTCGCCGCCAACAAGCAGAGCCTATACGACAACATGTCAGACCTGCTGCTAGGTTGCCAGGCCGTGGCCGGGCCCCTGGCCGACGAATGGGCCGAGGTTCGAGGCGAGGCTCTCGAGAACCGACTAGACTATGTCCGACAATGTGCCAAGGCCCTCGAGACGAATTCCTCGCACATCGGCTTTTCTTTGCAGCTGTTGTCTGAACAAGTGCAAATTAACATGCAGCAACAAGTCGACTCGAAACAGAGGGAAGACGTGATGCAGCGTGAACAACTCCGCCGGGGAGAGACCACTCCGTACGACAGACCCCATCAGCGCACGGAATCGCGAACGACTCCCGCAGCATCGCGACCCCCAATGATCACTTCACAATCCTTCACCGAGGGCGAGAGCACTGGCAACTTCCGAGGAGGCGACTACTCAAAGGTTAAGAAAATTTTGGGTGACGACCCCAACCCTCAGAGCAACATGCCTCCTGTCGATGACACGCCGGAGTTCCTCAAGCTGGACCATGAGCCAGATCTTGCCTGGGACAACAAGCTGACACCGCCCATCGTTAAGGGTGGTACTTTGGAGGCACTCGTGGAGCAACTGACACGACATGATAAGCTTGACTCGAACTTCAACAACACGTTCCTGCTTACATACAGGTCCTTCACGACAGCTCAAGATCTTTTCAAACTGATCGTGAATCGCTTCGGCATCCAACCACCAGAGGGTCTCTCTCAATCGGACTTCGAGGCCTGGCGAGACAGGAAACAGAAACTCATTCGCTTCCGAGTCGTCAACATTCTGAAGAGTTGGTTCGATAACTTCTGGATGGAGGAGCACAATGAGGAATCAAAGCAGCTCATTCGAGATGTTTACACCTTTGCTAGGGATACCGTCAAGTCTACAGAGACACCAGGCTCTGCACCACTAATGGCGATCCTGGATCAACGGCTCAGTGGTCAACAAGCTGGAGCTCGTCGGATGGTGCAGACGCTCAACCAAAACACGCCATCACCCATTATGCCTAAGAACATGAAGAAGCTCAAGTTCTTGGATATCGATGTCACAGAGTTTGCTCGCCAGCTCACCATAATTGAGTCAAGGCTCTATGGAAAGATTAAGCCCACAGAGTGTCTCAACAAGACATGGCAGAAGAAGGTTGGCGAGGGAGAGCCGGAACCGGCTCCCAACGTCAAGGCTCTCATTCTGCACTCCAACCAAATGACCAATTGGGTGGCGGAGATGATCTTGGCGCAGATGGATGTGAAGAAGCGTGTGATTGTGATCAAGCACTTTGTTTCTGTCGCAGATGTGAGTGGTAGAATCTACTACCATGAAATGACTCTGAAGCTAACAGTCCATAGAAATGCCGTAGTCTCAACAACTTTTCCACACTAACCTCAATCATCTCAGCTCTCGGAACAGCGCCTATCGCTCGCTTGAAGAGAACTTGGGATCAAGTACCACAAAGAACTCAGGGTGTCTTGGAAACCATGAGAAAGCTCATGGCCAGCACAAAGAACTTTGGAGAGTACAGAGAGGCTTTGCACGTGGCCAACCCGCCTTGCATTCCCTTCTTCGGTGCGTAATACTTATAAAAGAAGCCTTAAAGTCGGTGCTAACACTCATGTCCTTGCAGGTGTATACCTTACCGACTTGACATTCATTGAGGACGGAATTCCGTCCATTATTAAGAAGACGAATCTTATCAACTTTGCCAAGCGGGCAAAGACGGCGGAAGTGATCCGTGACATCCAACAGTACCAAGCTGTTGGCTACTCACTGCAGCCTGTCCCAGAGCTGCAAGATTACATAATAAGTAATATGC